TGTTCCACACTTAAATATGCTTTAGTTCTGTCCCATTGTGCCCCTCACTGGAGGTTCATTTAGGTGTAAAACTACCCTCGGCGGAGGAACAGATGGCTTTGAAGGTGGTATGACATGTCTTTGTAAACTATGGAAATTGAAATCGGCAGAGTTGAAATGTAGAGTTTCGGGGATGATCAGTAAATACAGAAAAGCAGTGTTAACATGTGGAATGCCCAAAATAATACTAGTAATCAAGCCACTTCTAGCTGCATATCTGTGCAAAGGACTGTACATTTTTCAGACTACACGAATAGTACAGAGCAAAAGTATCCCTCAAGATTAACGAGTATAGAACCCCAAATGCACCTATGTAGACGAAATTCGGTCATAGTTCAGCGGTTAACAGCTAGCCCTTTTCCGGAATGAAGATTTCTCGGTGTGACCGTTCATTGGAAGGAATAAAATGCACTTAATCGACATTCCGGAGGTATGTGAACAAAAACCCAGCTCTACAAAATACAAAGGCAAGAGAACCAACTTTGAAACATTCGTATCATATTTCTCTTCTACTCCGTGAAATTCAATCGTACAGACGCGGTTGTCTTATTCAACGAAGAAAAACATCTCTTGCGGTTATGGTGCAAGAAGAGATGATGAAAGTGAGTGGAAACAGGAAGCATGGCGACATCATTATTAGAGCTCGTGGAACTGCCCACATTTTTGCGGTTCAAGAGAAGTCACACACAGTGAATGATTTTAGCGCAATCACAGTCGAACGGAGTTTAGAAGGTAACGTGGGTGTTACTTAACACATGAGTATATCACACTTCTACGTTACCGAAACTCCTCTGGGTTATCTAGGGTCTGTTCTATCTGGATGATTCATTGATCATGGCGGTAACCAACCGAATTTAGAATAACATTCAAGGTGGATGACTTTAGCTTTGCGAAAAGTGAATTTACGGGTAGATAAACAGCGAATGAACTAAGATTTACTTAGTGAAAAGTTGTTCTTGTAGCTAGTAAACACCGATTGCTGACTTCCATGTTTAGATGGTTGCCAAGGGACACCGAAACGTGGCTGTATTGACAAAGTAAAGCATACGTGAGTAAAACAAATTAAGCTTGGGCGTTCAGTTGTAATTCTAAACGACTCCGATGTGATTCATGTACTACAAATGCGTAGCCTTACACAAAGTGGCGTGACACATTGTGGAATGTGTGCATTCACGTTGCCCGCGAAACGGCATGCTAACATATGGTCTAAGCAAACGAGAATTGGTGCGCAGTACAGCCGGAAGAAATACAACTTGAAAGGAAGTACACGCGGTGGATATTTTAGAGCGTGGATTCCATTGATGTCAGCAGCACTAATCGACCGAGACGGCGCCGGTTGTTATCTGAACAACACCACATACCAATGACACCAAAAAACGTGGGGAATCAAAAGCGGGATGTGCGCCTAAATTAAACGTTATACGGCAAATGAATGACAACTAGCGGGGGGGCAGGACTACGTTGATTTGTCGATCGCGTTCGAATTCCCGTCCGCTTGAGGATATGTGCCTTTGTTTGCAAAACAAACAAATCACTGATGGATGAACCTCGTGATTTTCGGAAAACAGATGATTTGAATGTCCTAAGATTACAATTTCTGTCATTCCACAAGGACCCGTGGCCGAGTGCATTTCACAGTTTCTAAACTACATCAGTCCACCCCTATGGGTTCCTCTACAACTTATGGAAATACAGCTGCGGACTGTGAATGGTTTAATAAGTTATGGTTCAGAACACCAAGGTTATGGAACACAACTCTGGTTATTCGCCGCAAAGCTGCTTCGAAACTCGTTACGTAGCATCTCTTGTTGCCGAAAACTGCTCTGACATCTCACGAGGACCGTTGGTTTCTCGTGTGACCACTTACAGTCTGACCTTCTGACCTCCACTGGCCTCCCCCTTATGTATTCGCATTCCCTCGGGCTTGCACGCGGCACCACGGTTGACTTAGCACAAACCGTCTGTGCATCCCTACCATGTGCAGACGTGCAGAAGTTCGACCGCTGTTGACTGGCAAGCCTGAATCGGATGCGCCAATTGCTGTTCTGAAACGCAGTCAGGTAAACCCTCAACACGTGTGGAAATATTGGGTGAACCTAAAAATACCGGTTTAGCATATGAAAGCTGGCGATCAACTTGATGAATTTCAGCACATTATGTTGCTTAAATGCAACATACACGAGAGATTCAACAAGAACAGAATGATTTGCAAATGAGTGTTTCGCTAATTCGGTGAGTAGAACATAATGTTGACGGAATCTCGGCGACTGTGGCTACCTGATGCGCCCCAAGAAGGGTGAAATCGGTCGTGGGTTGTCGAGGGATTTTCGGCAACCTTATGAGAAGCGTATGGCGTCTATACTAAGTTCTTTGTAATTTCAAACTTCCCAACTGTGAGTATATATGGAGAGCTCACCAAAGGCCTTCGTACGCAAAGCGGTGTTCGTCAAGGGTGGTTTACTCTCTACCTTCCTTTTCCTGTGGTCGATGAGATAATGAGAAAAACGTGGAATGTCTTAAAAACCGCGGTGTTCAACTAGCTTCTGACGAGAACTTTGTCTATCTGGAATACGCGTGCTGTTGAACATGTAGTCACTGGACACGTCACTTGCAATCCAGGGAGAGGCCCTCAAAGTTACGGAGCGTTTGACGTGCACTAGAATTTGCAATGGTTCTGACTGGGGTGTGACAGATGGAGTCAATTCAAGGATCTGCAGGCTAGAGTCACGTTTTCTACTTTGAAAACCTATGACGACAAAGTGGTATATCACTGAATCTAAAGGGATGTATATAAGGCCACAGTCGGGGCTGTTTTGTTGTGTGGCTACGAGACTTGGCCTGTTCCATCAGCGGGACTAAAACGTCTTCAGGAGCTCGAAAATCTCAGGACAATATCTCGTGTAGGTTGGTGTCAGAGAAAGCGAGTTTTCGGTTGTCCACCGCGGCCTGCCATTGAACAATGTGTTCAGCACCAGAAGCTTCGTATTGTGTATGCCGAACCATCGTTTTCCGAAAACAGTGCTGTTTCCGTGTCTTAATCAGAAAGCCAGAACCGCATAGGTGGCCAACCCTAGACTTGGCAGAGGAGTATGATAGAGATCACGAAAAATTGGGTGCTGTCGGTGCTAGTCACCTGGTCGACGTCAGCGCCGTTTTTGCTATCAGTGTAGTGGCATTTCGGAATAACTTTGCTAATGAGGCTTTCATATAAGTGATGGTTGGGCAGCAGCGAAGTATCAGTGTTGAACCCTGATGTCATGCTCTCCACGATGATAGTAATGATGACAGTACGAAAAATCCTTACTAAAACGTGAGAAGGCAGCAGGACCGGACGGTCTGATGTTGAGAAACGCTGTACTCTTTTACCTCTCCCGTTCATTGGTACGTCATTGATATGATTATGGAAGACTCAATTCCAGCCTCTAATGCCTGTGGGGCCGAAGTGCTCCCGCTCACAGATGTCTACCACGCAGGCGACATTGCTCTCCATGGATCTGACACCGTGGTAACGCAATCATTATTAAGTAATCTAAATAATTCTGCCTCACGGTTTGGCATGAGCTTAACATCTGCAGAGTATAAAGTGCTGCCGCATGACAAAGGGCTCGAACCTTAACCTAATGGTGGCGGACGAGCCGACTGAGTAAGCAGACAAATATGTCTATCTCAGCAACTGTATCAGTCCCGGTGGTCTCGTGAACGATATTTCCATCCGGATCGGGAAAACCAGAGCAGCTTTCGTGAACGAGCCAGGGAAGGCTAAATAATGGCTTGGTAGCAAAGTAACAAAGACAATACCATCAAACTTAGCTACGCAAATCGTTGCTTTCTCCCTGGATGAGGACCTCGAGACGACACACAGCAGTAGTTAGAGACATTGTCAGACATGGCCCAGTCGCATGCATAATGGCGCTCATGCATCTAAGCTATTGCCTTCAAGGCATTGCTCGTCTCCCAATCCCCAGATTGAAAAATCTACTGACAACCATGCAGTTACGCATTACATCAGCTACCGATTCTAAAGCGCAACCACTTACCCATTTCCCCAAATCACCGGTGAACGAAACTGGCAGCTTTAGCCACTGTACGGCAAGTACGCGGTTCCCACAGGTGACCAAGATGAAGGTCAGATACCACTTTATCGGAAGGATTGTCCGCCTGACTTGTTGAACAAATGGCTTCTCATTCTGTGGACATACCTGAAGTAAAATTTCCTTTTGCCTGCCGCTGGTGGTATAAAATGCAAGGGATATCTTCTCAAAACAAGGTGCTAAGCTCATACTCTCCGCGGACGAATCGAAGAACTCGACTGCCTTTTCTACACAGGATATAATCTTCCGAGCCACTGCCATGGAGGACGATACACTCCTCACAGGCATCAAAGCATGCATACAAAAAAACTAAATCTCAACAGCAAGCATTTACGACCAGATTTCCGTGGGACTCATCATCTCCGGAAAGGGCATACCTGATTCATCAGAAAGTTTACGATTTTGCGCCCCTCCATCTATGGTCATCAACAGAACATAGCAAAACCTGTTTCCACATTTGGGCGGAGATTTGAAACAGCGTACGTAGCGACAGCCTCTAGACTGATGAGTTCAAGTCTTAAACCTTATCGCTGAATCCCGAAGGACAACATTTCGGTAAATTTATCCATCCAGGTTACAACTCTTAAGGCTCCGTGATTCGGACAGTAGTAATCATATCTGAACACAACTTATTGGTTTTAGTCAACGATACACCCGTTCGAAAAACTACCGCCATTCAGATCAGTCAAGCACTTGAGCGCACGGCGTACATGGATACATGTCTAGGCTTGGGCAGCCTGGCAGTATCGCAGCCCTCGTGCCTCCTTCGTGTGGCATGGCAGCTAGGCACCGAAAGGGTGCTACAGCTGGACGATTTTTTATATATATATTTTTTATTACATGGATACATACACTCATGTAAACTCATCAGGTAAATTTAACTGTCGCGCGTAAGTGGCGTGGGGATTGAGGTTAAGAATGGAAACTTCGAGTCAGAACACCAAGAGAACGAGGTTATCGTCTACATTCACACACGAACGGACCTTATTACCACGAAAAGCTTAGTATAATGCTCCCCCAGGAGTGAACATTGGTCCTGTGATTATCAAATATGCTCGAGTTCAGTAGTTCAACGTTGCGAAAACCAATGTTGACTAAAAAAACTGAAAAGTTCAAAGTGTCATTCAATCCTAGTTAATATTGTGACCGAAAGAAAACAAGAACTGAAAAAATGCCACGAGATGTAGATAAGAGAGGCGATTGGTTCTAGTCGTGTCGGTGAAGGATTTGGGCGATCGGTTCTGACTCAGATCGGGGAGAACAAAGGATGTCTTAGTAACGCGGATTGCAAGGATGCTTCGGGTAAACACAAAAGTTGGAGAGAAATTACACGGAAATTTGTGTTGCAGCAGAGTATGGATGGATACATCGGTGATGGATTACAAAAAGCGGAAAAAGTGTTGCATTGATATGAAGAGAAAAAACTACCTGGTGAAACACGATGCTATGGAGGCAGTCGAAGACGATGAAATATTTTTTCTGGAAAAGCGTCGCGATTAACCGCATGACAAGCGATAAAAAGAGAAATGCGTCAGAGAAGCTGTTAAGGAATGAGACACCGCGCACTGATGGAAATATAAAGGCTGCGAATCTAGACAGAACATTTGAGGTACGAGGCAGTTGTAGGTGGGTATTTTGGGATGAGAAGCCTGTATGTAATTTGGAGGGTCATTACAGATCAATTCGGTAGCCTGCGCAAGTGAGAGGTTGACTGGAAACAGGCCCGCCAATGACGGGATGCGGCTCACTCATCAGTTGGATGCTGGAGCGGCTAGCGATAGCGGCGACGTCCAAGTGGCAACCATGCAGGCGTCCTGCATTTCGACCAAGCCAGATGATAAGCTCTTCAGACTCGTGGGCAAAGACGACAGACACAGGGAGCTTGGCATCCTCACCTATATACAAATAAGTTTTTTTTAATATGAACAGCTCGGTGATGAAGTCAGGAACACGTAACATGGGGAGTATAAAAGCGAGCAAATTAAGCTCTACGAGTCAAAATGTGGTTACCAACAGAACACTGTCCCATTCACATGTATACTAAATTGACGTGACGAGCAGGGACAAAAAAGATTTCAAGTGCTAAGTCGTTTACCTTTAGCCGAATGCGGCGACCTCTCAATAAGAAGATATACCTAGGCTCTCAAAAGATATCATTCTCGACAGAAGTTAACCACAACGTGCTAGATAATCCACGATACAAGCGCCAAAAAAACGGCAGAAAGAACTACCTGTCCAGGATTCCTTGCCAATCACTATGGCTTCCATGAGGGCAACGGAGGGTTTCGGATCCGTAACAACATAATATCGGGCTCGAACACGTTTGAACCATTCAGCATCCACTAGATGTGTGTTCCCACCACCTGGAAGGAACGAGATGTCCACATAGACGGGCTTCACTTTGTCGTAGGGTGGAAGTTTAGCTCCACCAGGCCCGATTGCGTGCGCGGAGGCGTCCGTACAGCCAGGACTGTAACCTGGACCTGTGGTGGGTGACGTGGTTTCGTTAGATCGACCTGTAATCAAAATGCAGTCGTAATAAAAACCTTGAAAAGATATAGCCCACACAACCTAAACCCTAGCAATTCGGTACAAAGGTGAGCGTTCGGAAATAGGTCCGTATCGGCATTTGGTCTGAGATGGCGATACGTTCGCACCCATGAAACTTTTGGCAGAGTAGGAAACTGAACAAGGTAATTTCGTCCAACCTATTGAATGTAAATCCCTAAACTATAGAAGATCCCTCAGAATCACGCTTAGGACGCACAAAGTTACTTGGAAACAAAAATAAAACCCCGAATTCACCAAGCAAGCTGAAAAACCAAAACGGAAGCTATGATGCTGTGCAAACATCCTATACAACGCTGAAGCCTCAACAAAGCAAGTGCACTAGCAGATATCCGCTCCGGGGCGAAAATAATACCAATACCACTAATAGAATTAATCGAACGCTCTGTAATGGAACCATCCCCTTTGACGTCTTGATGAAACCCACGAAAGATGCAACGAGTCAAGCGATCACCACCTGAGACCCTGGGTAATTGGCACAAACGCTACGCTGTACTATCTAATAACGTGGAGAGTACAAACACAGATACACCATCAGGGACTTACCACCCCTAGCAGAAGCAACTGGTCGTCCACTTCCAACCGAGGTCAACCTTCTTGCAGAAGCAGCTGGCAGAGCAAACAAAAGATGTCATGTGAATAAGTAGAGTTGGAGATCACAATGGTGCTCCGAAACACGCATTACCGAAAATTATTTGAGGAGGTGAACAAGCGAATCGGAGTGGTGTTTAAGACCCTGAGAATAGCACAGAATACACCATACACATGTAAACTGCCATTCGACCAAAAGACTGCGATTAATATTAAAGATAATTTCTCGGAAAGCGGTCTAAGGCTAGTTGCAGCATGAAATATTGCATACACAGTGCCTGTACCTCTCAGTAGAGTGACCTCAACAGCGAATTGCCTCCAAGGAGATAGCACGAGACGACTACACTCAAATCCAATTGTCACGACCTCCCAACAAGGGTGCCTCCAAGAATAGAGTAGCCCGGTCACTCGCTTTGAAAAGGACTTTTAGTAAGTATGCTATCCCATAATGAAGAAATATGGTTACGTCGCGCAGCTTGGATATTCACTCAAAAAACCATTGACGTCAACCTTATCAATGCTTGAGTCGTTACGAGGGTGCAGAACTGAGTGGTTGATACTGGTGGCCGGAATCATCTAGTTAATTGGAGTGACAGATTAAGAGGTTTACACATACCTCAAAAGAAAATAAGCCATGGTCGAGATTGGCGAAATTAACTCGTCTCAAACTAAATTATTGTTAAGGGGAAACTTAACTGAATACTAGTCGAGTACCTCGTTTATGAGACATTATCCTGTCCGAAGAAACAGCATAATTTGCGTACATATCTCATGGTCACAAAACTGAACTGAACTGTATAGGGCGCATCATTCTGCCCACAAAGCACTGGGACGCCATCCCAAACAGTCCTAAATAGAATTCCTTTGAAAATAGGATGCCCTTCACGCTTCTGGCCCTAGTGGAGGAAAGTACCTACGCTTGTGTCTAGTTCGAAGTCTAATTATATATACGCTCCAGTGTCTTTCGGAATTCCCACTCAAGTTTCTGGAAGCCCAAGGTGAGGAGAAATCAACGAAGAAACCGCGAAATTCTTCAAGTGAATTACATAAACCAGTTCAACGGTAATTCAATTCAGCCTATAGTTGAAACTAAACCTGTTGGTATCTTGGTGTAGTTCACCAATAGTATGTAATTCACGTTCACACAGAACTTGAAGTTGACGAAACCTGGGGGGCTGCATCTAACAGATGGGCCTCAAAAAAGGTTAAGCCGGTTGTGACCTGTTGGAGAGTTTCCAGCAACTTTGCGATTAGTGTGTCTTGACAAAATAACACAAATATAGTTTGGATATGTATAGGCGTAAATCCTAGTGCAAACATCTGAGTGATTTTCCATTAAAGAAGCACCTCGTTTCGCGGAGAGCAAACCTTCCTTGGGATTACAACCAACCGGAATCATGGTGTGGGCTGAACACCGTGATAGTTAAGCCAAACTTGGTAGGGGGATTACTAGATGGTCCCTTCTTACCAACCCAGATCGTAATGAGTAATGTTGTTAGATCCACACAGTATCGTCAATACGACTCTCCACCATTGTGAAGGATAAAAGAATACGGGGACAAAACACGTGTACAAAAAAATTAACTGCAACGAATGTCCTAAGGTTTATATAGGACAAACTGCCAGGGAATTGCACACCAGAATTGGTGAGCATAAAAGAAGGATTAACAAACCACCAAGGAATGCAGAAGAATACCAAACGCTGGTCAAAGACTCAGCGATGGCGGTACATGCCTTAGACACGGGACATAGAATAGATCTGGAGAATGTGGAAGTTTTGAGACGAGGACTGCGATTCACACCACAGCGGCTGATAGCCGAGGCGGTGGAAATTACTAAGCATCACAGTGTGAATAGAATCGAGGGTGTGGAGCTAGCGAGCGTATGGAAAGCGGTCTTAGATAAGCCGAGTTGACACGTGACGGTGTGGTTGTCAATCCACTTAGGATCATTAGAAAAAACCGGGGGGTAGGGGTGGAAACCCCAACCGACCAAAGGTCACAGCATCCCTCCTACACAACTCTCTTAGCACTAGCTCACCCACACAGACTAACAGAAGGTTCAAACGAAGTTCAAGAGGAACCATCAAATGAACCGAACCAGAAGAACTAGACCCTAGGCAGGACCCAAACACATGTAGGTTTCCCCACCGACCCAACACTTCAACACTTGTTCAACCACACTAAAATCCCTCGGCCGACACCCAACAGAGATTTAGCTTGACTTAGCTGATTGGTTCTCCTTCCGCCTTAAATCTCGATCAACCTCGGAACCTAGTCACTTGGCCTGACGAAGCTTTTGTGTCAAAATCGAAACGTTGCCCAGCAATAAACCTACCGATTGTCACCAAACTTTTTCGAATACGGGGACTAATCCCACAACGGTATTTAGTTGACTGCTGCTTTGGGGATGCAGAAACTGATCAGGACGTCTTCTAGTTTAGGCGCGGTGACGTAAAAACCTGTCAAGATTTCTGGGCTATCTCCCTAGTAAAACGTATGAGATCGAGTCACTCACTTTTGGGAAAGGGAAGGCGACCACCTACTCGGATATGTAAACCGAAATGCCCGCGTTGAGGGTGAAGCAACAGGACCTGATCAAGGGAATCGCTTAACGGGCAGTTGAATGTTTCACAATGTGCCGAAGCAGTCAGCTCAAAAACGGAACAAAAGTTGATAAGGGCAACAGAGAGCTGTAACTTTACAACTTATCCCAGTATCCTGCGCAACCTGAAAATTTGGATAGGACATCCACTATCATGGTACAGGTTGCATACCGAGAAACGAATAGATGGGAAAACGTCCAAGCAAAATTGCTGAAGATACTGTGCAAACCTATCGAAAAGCAGCGAAACCAAAGGACGATAGGGAGTATCTCACTATCCGAATGGAACTAAATAGACTGCAGAGTTGCTTAAGGGATTTTAAGGCGAATGCCTTATTTGTTTCGTGTGAGGAACGTTTCTGGATATGGACACGGTGCGTAGCTGCCACGTGAAAACGGAAGGCCAGAAGATAGAGATAAGGCACACAAGTATGGACAGGATCAATCCAAAAACCAGGTGCGCTAGAACGGAGGACCTCCGAGAAAGTAGCTTCGCACCTTGACCGCAGAGCCACTTCCGGATGAGTCCGCCATATCGAACAGAATCTTGGACATTCAATGCACCTTGAGCTGAAACTCGAGATGACCCGGTGGTCAAGGTGCAACTTAATAACCTGAAGGTCCATGGTTCAAAATCGACCTCTGCTACTCGAGTGTTCCTGTTATAGGCTTGGGCGACTTGCCGGTGTCACGGCCCCGGGTGGTGGCGTGGTGCTACAGTTGAACTATTTTTTGGTACTAAACATCCGATGTGAGCCGGATGTCATAAGCGAATATGAGAAGTTCGAAAACAATCGATATACCCAGTTGGAGGCACAAGATGATCAAATCGGTTTCGTGAAAGACCATTCAAAACACTGACACCAAGCTCGAAGAATGTAATAACTTATACAGAACACTGAATAACTCAGTGTGGCCTAACGCGTAAAAATCATTGCAAAAACCCGAAAATGTTGGTGAACTTACCCGACTTGTCCGTTGCATTCTTGGCGTCGTGGGTCGGACCTGGGGAGGAGACGAACTAGAATTACAGGTGAGCAACCAAACCCTGGAAACGACTACCAAGTTTTGCACCACAATAAAACAGATTACGGGCTTCGTCAATAGAAAAATTCTGCAAAATTCGTGATCGAGTTGTCACAAGATGTCACTAAGCCCGGACACAGCATAGAGGCGGATTGCAGCTGAGCCAACTTTCTCTCCTATATGAAGTCCGACCCCCCCCCCTAAAGTGAGGGAGGCGCAGTCAAACGCTGGCAAGCCGGGAAAAAATTAGTGTACGGATATCATAACAAAACAAGTAAGCAGCACGAACATCGTACTAATAACTAATGCGGTAAATTAGCGAGTCTATCCAAAGTTTAGTCCACCTTTACGGTGTCTGGAAAGAGAGTTGTTGACCAGTGACGATATTCATAATAAAATCGAACCTCACTATTATGACTTTTGCTAAAAGCGCACGAAATCCCTGCCATGAATTGTACGCAGCGTAGGTTCAGCTGTAAAAAACGGGCACGGCAAATGGGGTAGGCGTACCGGGGAATCCACATATTCAGCTTTAACCTCTACTTTCATGGACGGAGCGTACAGTTGGTCACTGTACAGACGGAAGAAGCGAATTTGCCTAAACCATTGCCACCAAGAATGTAGGAACGCACTGCAAAATCAACATCAACAGGTGGTTAGTTGAACCGGCCAGAAGCCGACATTGTAGGTGGGTGGTGGTTGTGGAGTCCTATGCTGCGTAAGTTGACAACAATTATGGTGAAAGATATGGTTTACTAGCTTCAATGCACCTATATATAACGTACTACATACACGGCACGGATCAGCGCATAAAAGCTAGCGATGACTGAACATGCATTTGTGTCACAATCATCGGTGACCTAACCAACTTGACTAGGTAAAACGCCGCTTCGTAAGATGCATTTTACACAGCCATTTCATTTATCAACACACCAACTACAGTATAAGGTATGGTTTAGAGTCTGTTTGCCAAAAGTAGTAGTTTGCAATCCCCTGCTTGCCTGACCAGCAAGTGCCTTGTTTCTGGCCCGGTGACATCAGTCTTTTGTACAACGTGAATGGTGTACATAGGCAGTACTGAGCACCCTCTAAAATTGAGTAATCTTGCGCAGAAATTCCACACACGCTTTAAAGCCAATATACACATCAACATACCGATTGGAGGAGCAGGGACAGGCAGACCCTGTGGAACGCCCCAAACAGCAACCGGATCGTCCAGAAGAGATGCATGTCCACCAGTAAACGATGGGTCTGACGGAACATCGGTCTGAAGTAGTTCACGTGGCGGCCCATCATGCAATCCGAGCTGATTCAGGTCTGGTGTTAGGTCATGGTGATGAGTCAGATGAAAACCATTCGCATTTCCATTGGATTGAGCAGGAACTGCAACAACACCGTTTTCTGACACAAGACAAATTAAGTTAGGTGAATCAATGGGACACAAAAAAAGACTAAGAACAACGAGACTACTTTTAGAAAAACCCGTATCCTCATTGAGTATATTCTGCGTTGTCGCTAGTCGAACTGCGGAGCATCCTCGAACAACGAAGCGGTGTACGGCGAAACACAGTCAACTTCAGTATTCAACGCGACATTACGCAGGGGAATAGAAGTGAAATATGGATAGAACCAGTGAACCACTACAATTCATTACGTTGTTCAAAATTCCCATCAGCTATCGTTTTCTGGAAAATTCAGACTTCTTCAGCTAATGTAAGCAGAGTCAATTTGGAACAAAGATGCAGTGCTGACCCGCAAGAGTGAATCAGAGAAGAGAGCAACGGTTCACATCCAAAGTTTCCAAATTTCGAGAGATAGACTGCCTTCCGAAAGTGGCATTCAACAAGAGGACGACCTAGTCATTCAACATGAAAAATGATCGCAGTCATCGAACCAGGGAACGAGATTTATGGTGCTACTGACAAGGCATCTAGGACGGTTCGTGAGGGAGAAGTCAAGATGATTACTCTGTAGGTCTGGACTGGCAAAAAGAAGTATGCTATTTAGGGTGGATGAGAAACCTAGTGCAAAGTCTGCGTGAAGTTCTCAAAGAAATACCATCGGCCATAAATCTCCGAAGAGTGAGGAACAGCTGTTATTTCTATAAGAAACTGCATCCATGCAGCCATCCCATCCAGTGAAACCATGTCTCCTGATTTGGAATACTCGATTACTGAACGGACCAGCTTCTAGCCTATTTCCGACCAAAGAAACGACTCGCGCATCACTGCCGTGGAAATCAACTTATTGACATGATTTCGAGAGTCACCTTTGTTCACAAACTAGCCACAAGTTATGGTTCGAAGGTACAGAATAAGAGTTATTGTTTTTCAGGTAACAGCTGGATCAACCAGGCACTGCAACCGAAGGTCACTGGGTTTCGTGTTCCTAATAAGTACATATACGCCATTCCTGAAAATAACCTCATTTGGGTTTGAACCGTGAGGGCTGGGGATGATCCGGTACCCGAGTGAAGAGGATGGGTTTCATCGAGATTCCACGCGGTAAAATTAATCCCAAAGTGAATAGGTTACCAAAAAACAGCGAAGAATTGGACTAACCAGAGCAACCAGTTGAAGAATTGGCCTCCACAGAAGTTGGGTTGGCTAACGGGTTAGCATTTGGTTTGCTTGGTGTGGACGCGACTTTCTCAGTGTTTGTTGCTCCTTTTGCCGAAACAGAGGATCGTTCATGGTTTTTTGCATTCGGCCCACTTTCCTTTCTAACGGAAGGATGGGAGGGTGCAGATTTACCAGTTGCCTTCAGATCGAGGCTGTTCGCACTACATACTGACGGTGTCTTCGTCGTGCGTACCTGCTGAACAGTGGGTCGTCTCGGTGGTGCTGTAAAGGGGACCATGGTTCGAAAATATATATCAACATGAGACTATGAACTCCGCGTGAAATGTCACAAAAGGTGTAAGGCAGTTTATCGAAACAAAGCCAGAAGGAATTTGTGATGTCTCTGTGGCTACTCTCTATTGATCACCGTTGCTAACAAGCGGATATAGAGCATTTCGCTCTCGGTCGTTTGCTACTTTTAAGTGTTACTAGAGAGCTCGGTCTGCAGCAGAGATTAGAGCATTAAAAACACTTCCCCTTTCCACTGGTTGCCGAGTCATCTCCATAGGTCGAGGATAGAGGGTTCTGCTTAACGGAGTGAACCTAGTCCATCTATCGAGCGCGGATGGTTTCTTCGAAACTCAACCCATGTGTCTCAGCAATATTAATTCATCGTGATTTGGAGACACATCAAACACTTGTGCCTTTGCATGTTTCTGATAAACATAGCAACACAGATCGCACAAAACCGTTCTAAACTCCATACTCGATAGATAAGCGGATGGCACTACAGCATCATAAGTGTCTGAAGTCACTAAATTCGTCCTGATTCTCTTAGGAGTTCAAGAGTCACACAGATTGGCAAGCATATCCACATCGACTGCAAAATAATGAGATTTGGAGTTGCTCTCACAAATCAGCGCTTGACAACCTGAAGACGTGAAGCCCACGCCGAAACGTGCGACTGAACTAGTTAGGTCATTCAAGGCGGTTTGCTTTTCTCAGGTCTTCAAATTACCCTGTGGAACCGTTTATCTACGCCTTCCAAATTGTCGTGGAAAAAATCTGGAGGATATACGGAGTTTTTAACGATAGGTTTACGTCTCGAAGGCAGAAAATCGACTCAACACTAAAAAGAAAAACCACTGCCCACTAGTTTTGAAATCACCGGAACAGGCGCCGGAGTTGGTTTCCTCCGACCTGTGTATCGCTGAGGCGTAAACAGCTCAATGGTAAACGATTAGACGGAAATTGAAAGTTTCGGAGAAAACAATCACAAGAGTGAACTACTGACTAAGAAGCCAGTCGGTCGAATCCAATTCTGATTTCTCCATCGATCTTGTTTAGGTCTGGGCAACCCTCGTGCTCCCTTTGAATGACGTAAGAGTTACGAACTGAAAGAGTGCCACATTTGAACAACCTGCTTTGATCCGTTTGCACGAAAATTAGGAAGCAATCATATCACATCAGTTCCCCTCCCCCCAAAAAAAAGGCAGTATATCCGGGAGAGATGTGTTTTAGTAATCCATCAGGTCGTCTGCCGTAAGTGGTCACTGGATGCTGGGGTTCCAAGAGACTCGAAACCGACCGAGGTGACGTACTGGAGCTTGGCTGCATCCGTGGCTGTTCGGAACCAAAGAGACACTGCACACCAATATCACATAGGTAAATAGGTCTCCAGCAGTCAATAAATGGATCATTGCCGCAAACATGTGACTAGCTCTATTAATACCACCCAGGTGCATGGCGTGAAGTTAGCAATGAGTGGGTGGATGTTACGGTCCAGGCTTTAGCGATTCCAGAGAGATCGATACCTATGAAAGTCGTCATCAGATTGGAAGCTGACAAACTGACAAAGTTTTTGAGAGCCTCACTTCGTAGAACACTTCGAACATTCACCTATTTCTCTGATCAGTCACCCAGCAAGGCAGCGTTTTGGTCTCTGCAGTCCTGGGACCAGAATTTCACTGAACGCGCGGAAAATATTTATGGCATGAGAACTCCCAAGCACTTGCATATCAGCTAACCAGTCAAAGCGTTGGGCAGTATTTTCAGGGTTATGGGTTAAATGTCCTACCCTTGTTAGACCAACCATTTCTGTTTGATAATTCAAACGTGAATTTTTTTTATCCAAATTCAATGCCTACGCGGTCGTGCAATGTCTTGGCCAGCTCCTTATGAAGTGGGTATCAAACGATAGATTCGAACACTTACCAGTTACCGGACGCTTGCGCTCAAGTTCCGCCAGTAAGGCTTTGGAGTGACGAAGACAAATGTTTGCAGCCACAACAGCCTCCAAGCTGACCAGTATGCGGGTCTGGTGCGCATTGGGGGAGACAAACAGGACACGTAACACAGGGTCCGTGTCCCGGGCTGGACGCCAGAGGACCAAACAAGAGACACTAGTGTGCGACAACTGACAATGCAAAAAAAAGATTCGATCGTTGAAGAAACATTAGGCGGTCTGAATAGCACAAGTGCCCCCACTGAGGCATACCCATTACAGCAGGAGTTTGGTCTATGAAAATGTACAAAACTATAGAAAACATGGTTATTTAACACTTGTAAACTGCTCTTTTTCATGCTCAGTATCATCTTTTTCCTCATTATCAGTCACATCGCTGTACAAAAGTTTGTTTTACTGAAATACAACCGCTACCGCCCGCTTGTGGGCTCCAACGTGACTTTGAGACTTTTGCTGAGTGACTGTTGTTGTGACCGCCGGTTGGCCATAATTGACTGCTACTAACACTAAACGTGAACAAACATTTCAGCTACAAACACTGGACTAGTATATTCACACTTGTGGATTTAGTATTTCAATCACCGGAGATCTGGAATATCCGGAAGATAGGACTATTCTTGGTGTGGTGGTTCAACGGAACTACGGAATCTCCTACTTTGAACTGTCAGTCAAGATCTACTTGGATTTTTTTCCTTGTGACTTTGTTTTGGCTTACCATTGGTAATTGTTCTGTTCACTAGAGACTCCATAGGGCCGTTAACCACTACAGTTACATACTTCGAGGTTTCAGAGCTCTTCAGCCAATCAAGCTACGAATAATACATTCACCACGATTGTATGACAAGCCACAGCGGTGCCGTTGTTGATGTAACGAGTGTACTTACCAATGGAACAGAAGATCGGTTGGCTGGGGGCATCTTGCTTAAATTCACCGGAGTGGACATCAAAGCTGGGGAAGCTTTGGCCCAGTCATCGTTTAACTTGCGCAGTTCGGCTGTGTCCTCATCTGTCGGTGTTAATGCGTGAAGCTCCAGAGTACCCTGTCCAATCTGTCGTAAATACATTGGGAAAGTCATTGAGACCCAGTTAGTGCTAGGGTAAAGTCAACGAAAGCGTCACGATACACAATATCAAGCAGAAAAACGAAAAGCACGCACACCGAAGTGGTCGCTAGTAAATCAGCAAAAACCTCGATGAGCGATTTGACATGGTCTCCAATGAAGTAAGCAAGACAACAAAGGTAATTCGTTCAGGCACTCTGGATTTTAGGTGGCACCGGAATTTAGATGTTAACTACTGACCAAGAGTTTAGTGGTGGGAACTCAGCCTTGATGTTCAATAGCTCGGTTTGGCTGGGAATGCAAGGGAGCCATGCGTCACCCCCAGCATTGCTTGCTCTTGTATATTAGAACCGAGAGTTCATGTAATCCTAAAACAGGAAACTTGCACTGGTTTGGATGCGGAACAGCTGCTTGGGGTTGTTACCGGGGACCGCAACAGCATTTACTTGTTTACCAGATTAGCCCTCCTACCTGAAGACAGACACCAAAATGGGAAGGCATACCTCTTCTGAAGGGGCTGATTAGCTTAGTAAATACATTCAGGATTCTATATCGTGGGAAGATTGCGAAAAAATTTAGAGGTTCCAGAGGCTTCTGGCCTACGACTTGCCGTCTCCTGATATAAATATAATTCCACTCGAAAAGAACATACATAATGTTAAAGCCAAATTTAGATTTCTGTATCGAAACAAACCGTCTGAGTTACCCACTGGTCTGTATGTTTTACCAATCTCAATAAAACATCCTCACGACGACTATCAATAACAGTCAAATTCGGCTTAGTACGAGTGATGTGTTGATATATGAGCGATATCTGCTGGTGACAAAAAGACGCAACGTCGTAGATCGCCATGCAGAAAAGATACTAGGAGTAACCCACAATCAAGAACCACATTTTACCCCAGATCTGAGTAAGCCAAAGGCCACCGTGCGGAGATTTCGCAGCATAACTTGCTACTCGTGCGTTGCTTCCAACGATGAATCAGTCTAAACTAGTATACAAGAAATTGTCCGCCAGAACCAGTGAGTAGTATACACAGTCTAGAATAACCAACCACAAAATGATCACTGTTTCTATCAACGAGCCAAAAAGTGATAGTGAGGAGGAAAAACTCAAGACAGATGTTGTCGTTTGTAGAATAAAGATAAGCCTGGCACTTTCATACTAGTAACGATAGGACATTGGACTCGAAGTCGGATTGATTTAGCTGGCTTATCCAGGCCTGGAGGAATTCAGAAGTGAGTCGACTTACGTCTCAATCGTATGTCCTTCAAAACTGTTTTGCGACCATTACACGTTTCGTGGCCTTGGACTGGGAGTAGAATCGTTCTTCAGGGAAGTAAATCGAGGAATTCCAGGGGAAAAATATAAGCGGTCAATCCGAAGATGGAAAGTGGACATCTGTGGGGAGTAGCTTCTCTATAAAGGATCTTTTTTTGGAATCGGGAATCGCTTTCAAGGTCGACAAGCAACAGTGGGTGACTGTTAGACTGACGGCTGATATGAACACTGGACGTTCTAATCAAATATCCACATTTGCTGATACGGCCCCGATTAGCCATAATTCTACAAGAACAAATTTAGGCTAAACAAGCTTACACCAACTCTAATAAAAAAATGGACGATTGATGGAGGCGCTACGCAACCACGACTGCCATGCGACACAAGAGAACTAACCTTTTTATATAGCTGGATTGGCTGGGAAGTTGAACTGAGTTTCGCACCTCTTGTCACCGGATAAACCGTCAACCGAGTGCCGTTTTGCTTCATCGTGGACATTAGCTGAGCAAGCTGACGTGGCAGACTCAAACTGAACGGAGAACGATTGACGTGTGGTTCGGGGAACTGGAATGCATTGGCTACATTCGGGGGTGGTGTGAGTAGGCAGAGCAGTGGTTGCTGTGATTCAGGTAGAGCCGGGTTTGTTTCAAATGCCACTGGTAGGACAGCGCGCATACCCAACAAATTATCCACTCCCCAGTGAGTAACCAACACAGAATCCAACCTGAAGCAGGAAATTTTTTGAAGGGTTAACGGATTAACACGCAGTTTTGACAGTAAAAGCACCTATATAAGGACTCATCGACAGCACTCGGTGTATGGATTATTCTTACAAGAGGTCATCACACTATTAAAAAGCTCGTAAGGCTAATTTGCGAAAACTTAAGAGAGAAGCTTGTAGGAGAGGACTGATCAATTTACATGTAACTAGTGAAAAAACAGTTGAGTAGTGATAAGGATTAGGCCAGCTATTATTAAATGGCGGAAAGTGTCCCCCTAAAGGCTTATCCAGTGAATCCAGTAAAGCTCCCTAGTTTCAGAAACCACACAACTGAAGGCAACGAATCAGAATTTGCAGTGAGACTGACTCCAAAATGACAAGTTTGAATTGATGTTTCTGGCACAATATTTTACCCAGCACACGTCTACACAAACGTGGCTCTACAAAGCAGACAAAGCCGCAGGATTCATTAGTGGCGTAACCAGCCCAACTCAGGAAAAGTAAATATCGAAATCTACCAAAAAAGAACCATAAAAGGAAAAAGGGTTGTTTGATTTTTCCTGGAGGTCCTGCGTGTAAGGCTAATCATCAGTGCATCAAGGCTTGTGGAATAATTGCACAAAATACCGATTTTTCGACTCAGCTTGTCCTCCAATGTATACTAGGAAGCTCAAACTGAACGTTACTCATTTCAATCTGGGCACAGCTACCAAAAAAACACAAGTATTATCGTTACCTAGATGGATTTTCTAACGTTTATTGTGGTCATGTCCCCATTTTTTAATTGTCTAAGGAAGGTCCCCAAAGTCCAACTCCACACTAAACGAATAATTTCGTGAACTAAAAATGATACAGGCTAGTGACAAGAACGTGCGAAGTCCTGAATGATACTCCAAACCGTTAGGCGGAATTCCACACGGATCCCGCTTTACCGCTCGCAATCAGGTGCTGCTACGGCCGAGAAGTCAACCCACGCAAGATTGGCCAAGAATTCGGGGCGCTTGCCGGTCCGGCATTAATTCGAGTCTGGACCCAACAGCCAACCATGGTCGAATGCCGGTTGTCCATGGCGCATCCAGAACGCGTCAGAATCTCCAGAAAGTTATATCCGCCTATGCTGTATATATGAAGCGCTGTACAATTGTTCCTGATTTCGTCTCGGGCGTTAATATACCTTGTGTACCCTTGGTGGTTGTTTTGATGTGAACGCTAGCTTGGGAGGCTCAGACCGAGAACTAAGCTGAAAAAACACCGTTACTTACTACACAAACATCAACATCAAAGTAGATACCAGTCCAAAAATAAAATCAAGTAATTCGCAATGCCGGTCCCTTATGACAGAAGATTTACTCAGCAGCAGGAGTCAGCAGACTATAGAGTGCGTAATTGAAGACGATTCAGGTTGCCTACAGCAGCAAATAAAATTTACAGGTTTAATATGGTTGAAACATGCGGTACGGATAGGCAACAACGGTTTCCAGTTTGAATCCTTGCTGGCAAAAGGTAGCGGAAGCAGACAGCCACATGGCAGCGCAAAATGAAAGCGGCTACGGTCAAATGAGTACTGAAGAATACCTACGATGGTCCGTGGACTAATTGTCCGTGAAGAGGGTTTAGAAATAGTTTTCTTTCGATAAAAGCCGTTAACAGGCTAAAACTACACCAATGAAAACTTCCGAATCAAGGAATGAGACGGATGGAAGCTAGCTGTAGGACATCCAATGTACAGTAGAGGTAGACTCAATGCCTAATAAGCAATAACACTGGCTTTGAGTCTGTTGGGTCTTGAGAAGGGTAGGCGTCATCGACCCATTGGTTTGTGTTGGTTCGCCAACCGACATCCGGCTCCTCACCCATGCAATTTTTGTTGTATTTCCCTATACCTAGTGGGAGCCATGATCCTCATTCAGAAGTAAAATCGCTTTTCGGTGGTGGATGGAGCGAGTGACCTCTGTAGGGATGGAAAATCTAATCGGAGTCTGGCGGGGAATGCTTGCCGCGAAGTGGCTTTCCCCTCGGCAGAGTGGTGTGGTTCTTCTATAGGAGGAACCTGCTGCCCCAAAAGACATCCGCAGTACCCGCAGAATCAGCACTGTTCTGAACATTACGAGGGATGCCCCTTAGGTATGTCATCAAAGACTCAGAATTTTTGCTTTGAAGAAATAACGTTTCAGACCCGTATAACAGGGTCATCGTATTGACGAACGGTCTCTTGCATAAGCCCAGATTCCCAGCAATTCAGACGGGTTTTTGAAACATGTAGGCCTGTTTGGATCGCTTCAGCACATGAATAGCGAAATTCAAAGATTAGGAGGATTACCTGAAGTCTATAAAACAGGAAGAAAATAAGAGCAAACAGTGGGCTAATTGTTAAGAATGGATATTGAGAATGGAACGGCCCAACTGACTCGGTGAAACCGCCATGTTAGCAAGAATGAGTCTCCCGCGCAATAATACTTGAACGCTCAAAGAGAGAACCGGAGAGAAGCGCATCACTTGTTGAGACACGACTCAGATCCTACAACGCTGTTGGAACACAATCGACCGCATTTAATAAGAGTCGTGCGCTATGATGTGCACACTACAGTTTGATGACTCCGGATGAGTTTGATCAAGAATGGCCTATTGCTTCATTGTGCACCAGAAAAGTGCAACACAAGTCTACTTGGGTGACTCTAATGTGCAGTAAACTGTGCGAGCAACAGTCCCCATCAGACGCTTCCCAAATGACTGTCAGAATCCGTCGTCATTGTCTATACGTACGCTGTTTGAGGAATAAAGTTGTAAAGTATAAATTTACGTGCTTTTTACGAACATCTACTATGGAAAGTCCACAATCGTGCTACCAATCCACACTTGGTGTGGTTCATGGTGATATCTGGTTTAGATTCCGAGTTGAATTTTCCGAACATTCTCCTTACCAAAAGATTTCGATTGATTTATGTTATGGGAGTATTTTTTGCCAGTGTTGTTGCCGTCAACAAGGAAAAATGTAAACATGCTTCACTCTTGTGGTCAGTCCTATAGAGGATGAAGCGCGCAGTGGGTGCATTTCGTGGCCAAGCAAGGACTGTCTTTACAGTCGCGAGATATGCTTCGCAAAACTGTAATAGATCTGCAAGAGGATCCGAAAGATCAAACAAACCGGCAATCGCAGACAGAATAAAATGAACATACCGATCCAGATAGGTGGCAACAGGCCAAAAATTTGGACGATGTGAGCAGCCTGAATCGATGAGCATACTGTAGCCGGGTAGTGTGAGGATTGCGGACTGCCCAGATCCTTCTGGAAAAACGTACAGGCATGGTCGTGACACGCGAAGTGTTTGATCGGTGGGACCTCGGGGGTTAAGTAGCGTCGCCAGTAGTGGGCAGCAAGATTCCGGAAGTTCACTGATTAAACTATCCACCAGATTTCGCAAATCTAGAGTAAACACAGCAAAGCTGAAGCAAATGAACTGGCTCGTAGAGAATGTAAAATACTGATGAGTATGAGCAAATGACTCTTCTTGTGTGAACTTCACGCTCAACTATGGTAGACAACTCCAGAATGGAGCTACCGTCTTTCCCAGAATGAGTCAGGGTTGTTTTATAGAGCTGAAGACTGAGTTTATTGGAACACGACATGGCTAACTTACCACGTAAATCCCTCTGAACAAAAGTCTTTCGGGAGACCTTTTGCTCTGTTGGATTTCCGCAACACTGAGTTTTCAAAAAGAAATATTCCCTTTGCAAAAAGGCTTACTAACCGTTCATCAGTAAAATGCACACAAAAGTCAGTCACGCATTCGTACGGGAATGTGGACATAAATCTGGTTGCATACTGTATTTGACTACCCCTGTGACGTCTGCGCCAGGCAAGTCGGGGGTTTAAATTCGGGACTCCTCTGCCAAGTCAAGGGTTGGCCACCTCTCTGTTTACGCCACTCCGAATCGGGCATGGAAAACAGTACTCTCTTCGGCAAACGATGGTTCGGCATAAGTAACACATGTCCCAACCAACGCAGCTTCTGGTGCTGGACACATTCTTCAATGGAAGTACCCGTTACACAGCCGAAAACACGCTTTCTAACTGTCACAGAAAGCCCCCAGTGAAGTAGTAAGTTGAACTAAAATACCAGATACATGCTGCAACATTTCGCTGAGATTCGAATGACGCGCCAAGGCAAGCAGAATAACCATTTAATCAGATGAAGTGGGTCAAAAACCACGCAATGGACGCAAAGTGCATCCTCAATCGTGAACAGCACAGCGAAACAAACAACTGTAGCTCGAGCAGAGTCACGCGGCGCAAATGGAACAATGGTAGGACGTACGAAAAAAAGTCATGGTGTTCAGCAAACATAAAGGTGCGGCACAGCCGCAGGACGTAAACACAGATAGTCATGATAGCTGGATCTGAGCGAGTTCGTCTAGACGACTGGGCGGATACAGGACTCCCAGACAAATCAACCAAATACCAGGTACTCACCGTTGAAAGTTTCAATTATGATTCCGTAGGTGGAGCTACCTCACAAAGCAGTAAGACATTAGCAGAGGAAACACTCTTACAGATGAGGTCTTAAACGTTGAGAAATACGTCCGCGAGTCGTAGTACAGATATAGCAGTGACCTCTCAACCACAATCTTTATCAAAGTGCGGCAAATGCCCATTGCTGAGAAGGCTACCGTTCCTAGCTTCTTAGATAAGCGCCTGATATTCAGCCACCATCTGCGATTCAATCAGCGGCTTGCGTGCTACAGAGTATACTTCTTTCATAGGTATGTGAAGATAGTTGAGAGGTAGTCGTCAACAAAGATGTTGAAAACAAGCGCTCCACTGCCGAACAGTTCAACTCCTCGACAATTTCAGCCACTAGTATGTGGATACAACACCTGAGAAACAGACCAGCTAGATCATCTAAACTCCAGTCACTACGACACTTCCTTCAATGGCTCCTCCCGCTTCCAACGACCCTACAAACTTTGTTTTGCATGGTCTGAAGAGGCAGAACAGAATAAGATCCACTGTAAGAAGGCATCAGTCGCGTATACGTGATTTACCGCTGATTACGGAGAACACTTACATTCTTTACTTCTTCAGCTATAATCAATATATCACAGGAACCTTGATTCCGGATGCCAGCGTTTCGTTAACTGAGAAAGCCTCCTTTAGTGCGATTAACTTCTGATGAAAAATGAGTCGGCTCCAGTAACCCCACGTGCTGCTACCCACGGACGACCTTCAAGAGCAAAGTATGCGTACGGGCTTGGCTGGTTTCTGTCCCGGTATCGGATTTCGTAGACAACGGGATGGTCGAGGTATTGGATTATCGACTTTATTGGGAAAGGCGGCGAGATGGCCCAAATGGTTAGAGCGCAACTTACTGAAGAGCAAAGTATGCGTACGGGCTTGGCTGGTTTCTGTCCCGGTATCGGATTTCGTAGACAACGGGATGGTCGAGGTATTGGATTATCGACTTTATTGGGAAAGGCGGCGAGATGGCCCAAATGGTTAGAGCGCGAACTTACTGACCGGAAGGTTCATGGTTCGAACTCAACCCCTACCTCTCGACTTCCCCTGTCTAGTCTTGGGCAACCTGGCAGTATCACAGCCATCATGCAACCTTCGGGTGGCATGGCAGTTAGGCACCGAAAGGGTGCTACAGCTGAAAGACACTTCGTGGGAAATGGTAAAGCTTACAGTTGACAGCGCCATCATGCGCAAAGCGGTGGCTGCATGTATATATGGCTTTTGAAGAGTACCTGATGCCTATTATTTTGTGATTGGTTAGTTGAAGGGCACCTTTATCGAAAATTCATACGCCTCTTAGAGATCTGTGTTGCGATTTGGTCTATATTCAGTACATTTGATAGACTTTGCCTCGCGTTGCGTAGTGGTTGATTTAGATTGGCTGTCCTGGCATCCTCCAGTTTCAGTCCTCGGGATTTTTCTGAGTTCCTTCTGTGATCTTTTGTGTAGTTTTGAGTAGTGCAGATCTGCAGGTTATTTCTCCCCAATTGTGGGTAGACTGCACCGATTGCAGTAGCTTAGATCATGGCTTCTTCGGGAGACTACCAAGCTGCTCTTGCTGTGGCCTCTTAATGCTCCAGTCGAACTCGTCCATGGGAGTGAATTGAAACAGATTATCTTTTAGTAGCAATTTTTTGTTCAAGTGGTCCGATGTAAAGATTGCTTCTCGTTTGCACATGTGCTCATTGCCGAAATCTTCGCATCGAGCCTTGAACATGATATCGGTCTTCAGCACTGTATCCAACCTTATTTTCATTGACAATTTCGAGGGTTTATAGATCATTATGGCCTAATGTTGTCGTAGCGTCTTGCGGCCGTTCCAGAAATGTTAACGTATGGTAGTGTGATCGGTTCATCTTCGTTTTGTGCTGTTGAGTTGGTCTAGTTACGTTTAGATTTTTCGGTTATCCATTTCTCTGAAAAGATTTGTACAAGTTTTTTCATCCTCTCACTTCGGACTCCGCAGCATTGAAGTTTGTCCCAATTCACCTGAAAAAGGTTCGGATGCAGCATTATTTGTGGCATTTCGGATGGCTACTGCAGTAACTCAGAATTTAGAACACAAGAAGTTCTGTGGGCCAGTCTGTCCTCCTATACGCAGAATTGCGAAGTACGCAGCTTTGCTACCGGTTTGACCGAAGCGGCCATCGAGGGAGGTTGTTTCCACATTCGAAGTATGTCCACACTGTTGAAGCCACTACCTCGCTTGCTCGCGGGTTAGCTTGATGTCATAACCCCTCGTAAATTGCCAGGAGAGACGAACGATTCTACTGAGGAAAACCAAAACTCTAAGCTCAAACTGGTAACATCAACCCGGGTCTTACCGGTGTAATCCACATCAGCCGTGGCCGAATCTCCACTAGCGGTAGGCTTCTGCTTGCTTGGTGGGTGAGTTGAATTAACGGAAATTGCCAGAGGACGACCCGACAAACTGTCGAATCGACGTGTGGGCAGCTGTTTCCAGTCGCCACCGGAACTGATGCCACCAACACCGATGTGGAGGAGAATTCGTTTATGCGGAGGCAGATTTTCAATGTCTACCTGGAGAAGGGATTAAGTTGAAAGAGGACAAAATTATTTGAAGTATTGTTTAATGAGTACACATCAGTGAGGAAGCCTGAAATAACGGACACCAAATAATTCAGGACATCCTTTGAATACCCTGTTGGTTTATTGCTGAAAATCTCAATAGGACTAAAAAACTGCTCATCCGAAAATGGGTTATCAAGCATACTTTAACTCAGTGTCACTTGGGTTTGTGAGAATGTAGGCCGACAAAAAAAAATGCAGTCGAAACGATTGGTGAACGCCATTCACGATTCACTTGGTTTCAAATCAGCGCCACAGAGTAGTCGCAGGACGGCCTGATTCGGTGATTTGATAAAACCGCAATACCGGGGTTTGCGTTCAGAATCTGCGACTAGAACACGAGATTTGCTCGTTGTTGCTGTCACACAATTTCTTCTAATTCGACATTTGCGAGCACAAGTCCACAAGGCAACTTCCTCTGGTCGGGGCAACAGGAACAAAGCAAAGCGACCTACCTTCGCACCTTTTTCTCAAAATGCATCAGTGCATAGCTCTAAGTTCTTTTTAGACCCCAAACCCAACACTTAATAGGCAAGATATTCAAACAAAATGGAAAGAAAGTAAAGAAGTGACTGAATCTCGGAGTGGGGCCGCACTGTCAAACTCCACAGTCTTCAGGATTCGCATTAGAAAGGCCTGACAATGACACTATGTCGAACGTCATCCGTCATGCGGTAGGTAATCGATCAGGCCAGAATCGGCTGGACAACCTCGGCGATACTCGATTTCCTTCTGCGGGTACGGAGCGGTTTACCACTGCACAAAACAATAGACTACCTGTGTGATCACATCAAGACTTACATACTAAACAATGGAATTTCAATTTATGACTTCAAAGAGGTTCGTGACTTTCAATTCAAAAGTCAAGATTGCACATACAAACCAAGCGCTGCCAAAATGGCTCCACTTCGTCCATTGATAGCTGACATTTTCAGGAGCACGCTGTACGACTATTAGGTGAATTACATCCTGGGAAAGGTTGTCATTTATAGGTAGCCTGAGATAACACAATCACCATTGCTTTAGTTGAACTCCCATGAATGCCAGTATAATAGCCTAACTGGGCATCAGAACGGAAAGAATTCTTGTTAACGTTTACACTTTCGTAACAAGATAGGCGTTCGTGCCCCTAACAACCGGCAATGGTGATTATCCAGGCACCAATGCGGTTGGTGATGCTAGCAGACTTGCGAGAGACGCGCTCATATACAACGGATCCTAGCGCAGATGTGTTGTCAGCGTCACGTTGGCATACGAAAAGTTCCTGAAAAACAACAACCTAGAAAGTCCATGTATACATTGCAATATGGCTATCTCTCAGCACGCTAATTAATTCTGTGTATCCGGATGCATATTCACATAGGGTTGCTCAGTAGTTAGGGCGCGAATTTACTGACCGGAAGGTGTCGTTCGAACCTAACCTCTTGATCTTGAATCTAGGCCTGGGCAACCTGGCAGTATCCCAGCCCTCGTGCTTCCTTCTAGTGGCACGGCAGCTAGGCGCTGGAACAATGTTACAGTTGAACGACTAGATATTATTACTATTTATTATGAAACATCATTGGAAAGCGAAATTCGCAGTCGGATCTTCCTCGCGGTTTTCTTATTGAATAGCTACAGCATCCTAAATCTCTTCGGGACTGATCTGAGATATACGAAGGTACCGACATTAAAATTTCTCCACCTCGAGGAAGAGATTCGGCGAGAACACCATGAATGTGAGCACCAGCGTTTCGCACGATCAAACTAAAGGGCATTAGAACAAATTTCTCCCCCTCGAACAACTTCCCTTTTGCCCTACCACTGGTATACTGATAAGAACAAATAGAAACAGCAACTTAGTTTCATACTAGTAAGAAAAGACCACCAAACATGCATGATGTGCATTACAGAACTCAAAGATAAAAGGGCTGTTCATCTTATTGACGAATTCCATTGTGGGTTGATACCGCAATTCTGTAGACAATTAATGCCTTAGCGTCAAGTGAGTGGCCTTATATTAGAGCAGCTTTTTAGCCCAGACAACAACTGTTTGACTTAATCGTTCAGTCTCCTGAAAACCATTTCAGTTTGGGTTCCAAAAGAACTGGGGCTATTGTTGTGGTTTGAGTTACTGTGTATACTTAGTTCTCGCGACCGACAGTGTGCCGGATATACACTAAAAATGCAGGCAGCTCTTGACCTTGGTCAGATTCATTATTAGCGTATATTTTTGTCAAGATAGACGGTGCACATATCCAGTAGATCATGTGGAAGAGCCTTGGTTCAGTAACCGGGAAAGTAGATTGCAGATCAACTGAATAGGTTAGGTATTCAGCTAACACCGATCGTTGCAGATGACATCTGAGCTTACAAACTAAAAACAACCATATACGCAGCTATCCAGGGGTAAACTTTTAGGAGGCAATAGTAATAGAACAGGACCGAAGGTCTGCACTCAAAATGAGTTGTCCAAACATCACGCTATTACTGCAAATCAGTAATGCACAGTCGACGGCAGGTACTTACACCATTTTCCATACTGACAACCGGAACTGAGTGCGAGTTTGTCAACATGATCCATAAACACTAAGAGAGCTCATCAGTTATGATACGAACTTCACAAAGATTACGGTTTAAACCCTTCCTTGGCAATCCTGAGGCACGCTTTGAGGTGCGCAAAAAGTTTCTGGCATTTCTATCCGTATTTTTATTTCTAAGGAACGTATTCGACCTATCAACAAGCCACCCATGTGGGTTTGGAAACCGTGTTTAAGAAATGCTACTCCAGAATCTTACGCATTCGACTAGCCGAACGAACACGCGAGGAACTACCACGTTGCACTTAGTTTCGCACCAATGAGATAAAAAAATAACCACCCTATCGGAAATAGAATGTACAACTAATAACCAAACCAACGTTGTCTTGTAAATGAACAACACGCGATCGAGAATAGATTAAACAAGTGATGCGAGAGACAATTCAGTAAACATACAAGCTGTGTCGATGTTTATCACAACCATACATTTCTTCCACATTAATTCCACCGGTAAAGCCCTACCTACAATACGCTATCATTGTTATCTCAGAAGTCAATCAGCTAATCAGGAGTCTACGTGTCCAGACACATCATGGCTAAACCGAAAAGTTTATTTTATTGCAATTACTTCTGGGAAGATCTCGCCGTCATGGATGCTGGCGCACATGTTCCATTCTGTTGGTGCCATCCAACAGTTGATCGATATACATATGTGTGGTACGTATTTTCCGAAGGATATATTTGGACTGCGTAACCTACAAACACCTACTATACGTCAGAGAGATCAGGGCTCCTGTGACGGTATCAGTTGACAAGGCTACGTACCTTGGAGGCCGAGAGTATACCCGTTAGTCCCAGTAATGTTCTGTAAACGACGGTGCTTTCCTACTATTATCGGAAAGCTTAAATGGATTCGAATTTTTCTGGTAGACCTGGTGATCTTTAGTACAGGCTTGTTGCCACGTTGGTTGGGACATGTACTGCGAAAGCCTAACCATCGTTTTCCTAAGAGAGTGTTCTTTTCCATGCCCAATTCAGAGTGCCGGAAGCAGAGAGATGGCCAAACCCTGACCTGGAAGAGGGGTACGAAAGAAATCACGAAACGTTTGGGTGGTGTGAGTGTAACTTCCCTTTCAGGATGAGGACCGCGTGATTCTCACTGAGCCTGGTTGGAGACACTGCAAGATATGGCTGCCAACCAATGTCAGTGGCGATCTTAGTGTCAGTTTCTATCCAGATTGCCTGAAGTGTTTGGAGGTGTAGGCAGCTCGGAATGATTGCAGTAAGCTAGCACTAAGTCCCTTACCCGTCCACCTTTACCCTTCCTTTCACAATGAGGCTTTCAAATAAATCATGGTTGTACGGCAGCAAAGCATCGGTGTTGAACACTGATGTCATGCTGTCAATAATGATGATGACTGCTGAGAGGAAATCTGTGTCAACCTTTCAACTTATTCACTTATTCGTCTAAACAAGGTAGTGCAATACGAATACATTTGACTCTAAAATATAGCTACCTCGTTTATACATACACCATAGCTTCAAATCGGAATCTATACTTGCAAGACTGTTGGGATGAATCACTACCCCAGATAGTCGTCTGACTGGTATTTGTATTTACCCATCAGTATGGGGTACTTGAGGAAACTTCTCAACCTAACTAGTGATTTGTGTATACCAAAATAAGATACGAAATCGTAACGGAGTAGCTGAAATGAATGCCGAATAAAACGAGTTCTGACTCTGATGGTGTTCTTATCACACGAGTAGGCGCTTGTTAATGTTTCTCCCATTTCACCGGAAAAGCTATAGAGCATCGTGCATCATCCATTCACTTACCGGTTTCGGATAGGCCGATATGATTTCTTCAATTTCATCTTCCACAAACGATGGGGTGCATACAAAAGTTGGGAGCAACCAATGTCCACACCCTTCCGAAACAAGCCCGGCGTAAATCACAACAGCACTGGCTCCTAATTCTGGCTTTGAAGGTGGAACGAGGAGATTCTTGATAGCTGTGGCAACCGCAGTCGCTGATGGCCTGAACAGCAACGAAACTGATATTTCGGTGCCGTTCCTTTGTAGAAACAGAGCATCTGAAAAGCAAAAGTAATGAAAATAAATGTAAATTGTCTAGCTAGGCAGATAAAGCGACGGGTGGCGTTATTAGTTATCACGATCAGTTTTCCATTTATTATGGTATTAACCGTTCATGCCCACATTCTCACTATAGCTATCGAAAATCTGTTGTATGGTAAATAGGGTATCCCAGTCTTCTCAAGTACGCCTTCTCACTCACGTCATATCCTCTGTTATCTTCAACTACTGAGAACGGTTGGTACAGATTCAGCTACAGCAAACTGGTGTAAACCTTTTTTGGTACCATGCGGCATATACGTTGTCCAAGAAAAGGTAAAAACCCTACAGGATCTCCACTGCAGAAGACACTCGTCATAAACATAATTCTTGCACTCAACATAGCACTAGTATAGAAAGTCACAACGGACACATGGTCGTAACACTGCAGGCCATTGCGTAGTTGTGACCGTGAAATATCACAACAACGGACGGAACAACCTGTTCAACATATGGAGCAAGTTACTGATAACAATTTAGTGAAGTGACCACCAGGGCCATAGCGTAGACCCTAGAAATTTGACCCAAATATCAAAATATAGCCATCGTCACGTGATCAGTTTATGGTGTACCGGAGCTCTTGTACAACGGTCGCTAACACGATCGTTGGCAGTTAGCCCGGAGGGAAAGTGTCATAGTTTAGGCATGCCTCCGTCCGTCATAAAACACCTTCGTTAAACTTGAAGGTAACTACCCGCAAGGTTACTTAAAACCCTGTTCGGAGGCCAGCCGTCCCTAATAACCGAACATCACATCATTTAGACGGATGTCACGTGCAGGACACGGGCCAGACGAAAACATGCCCTGATTGGTCAGAATGCCAGCCAATCCGAGTCAAGCACTTTGACTCGACGCTTCTAGTCCCCTCACGGACATTCTGACACGACCTTGTGGAAAACTCTGTGACTACCCTATAAATACAGTTGTAATCTAATAATAATAAATCTACCGATTGTCACCAAACTTTTTCGAATACAGTTGTAATGATTTCCCCTTGGTCTCCATAAAGGGCTGTGTAGAGCTACCGTGCGTTTTGATATACCATAGTGGGCGGAGCAAGGAAGCCAAGGGACCGATACAGAGTTGCATTACCGTACATCAAGACATAACAAACCCTTACACTCATCAGCTGGGATTTAGTTGAGTCATCCGTTAAGACCAAGTCGGTGTGCAAATGAATGCACTTCGTGGATGTTCATTCAACTTTTAATGCATAATTTAAGAGGCATCAGTTAAACAGATAACGCCAAGGCAAACTAGCTCCAGCTATCCCGACGGATTAGGTCAACTTCAACGGACAGGATTGACAATAAACGGTTATTCCAAGGGGGTGGCTATGAAATGGCGGAGAGGGGTACTGTTTAACGAACCACCTTGATTTGTTTCAAGATCACTGTACGGCGATACACCTTAAGGGCACTTACGGTAGTCCAATTCAATAGTTTGTCTCGTCGACCATAGAAGACATACGACGGCAAATGGAGGGTCGTGTTCACTACTTACAGGGCCAATGAAAATTCATCGGCGGTCAACTATAGGCTATGTTCCATTTGGGGTAGTAAAAAGATCTTCAGAATCACCAAATTTCTAGTTTCTCATATAGTTTTGCTCGAGACAGTGGTATAAGTTGCTGATCGACTTAGGCTGTTTTTGAGAGAGAACTGAGCACGTCGAAATGAGTGGTACAAGCAATCAGTCTTAGTACGACCAAATTATAAAGATTGGTCTGCCATAATCCTGAAAGGCTTTAAGACCAAAGGTTGGCAGCTTGATGAGAAATAGGCGGGCACAGTGAAACCCATGACATGATGTTAAGCGAGAAATAAACAGTGTCTATCGTGGGGAAACACCCAGAAGTTCAATTCGAATAAAGTATGAATGACAAAAGGGGGGACATGGAGAATTCTCCCAAGATCGAATCTCACATCTGAGAGAGCTATTAAGTCATCAAAATATCCACTACAGAAACCCTATGGGCGCAACCCAAGGGAACAGGTGAGAACATCATAACGAGTTATCGATTAACTACGAAAAGCGTTGAATAAACGGGCAATGTTGTATGGAGTGTCCATATAAATAACCTAAAACGGCAAGCAACCTAACTAGCAAATAATTCAAATGTTTCGGGGTTCAAATAAGTGTTGAAATAACATGGGACAGCAGAATGCATCCTACCGTCAATAGCGAGTTTCTCAGAACGGTCCGGTAGTTCGGGGAGCTTCTCCTGCAGATGTCGAAGAACCTCCGGCGGAATTGGAGAGCTGTGTTAAGCGAGAAATAAACAGTGTCTATCGTGGGGAAACACCCAGAAGTTCAATTCGAATAAAGTATGAATGACAAAAGGGGGGACATGGAGAATTCTCCCAAGATCGAATCTCACATCTGAGAGAGCTATTAAGTCATCAAAATATCCACTACAGAAACCCTATGGGCGCAACCCAAGGGAACAGGTGAGAACATCATAACGAGTTATCGATTAACTACGAAAAGCGTTGAATAAACGGGCAATGTTGTATGGAGTGTCCATATAAATAACCTAAAACGGCAAGCAACCTAACTAGGAAATAATTCAAATGTTTCGGGGTTCAAATAAGTGTTGAAATAACATGGGACAGCAGAATGCATCCTACCGTCAATAGCGAGTTTCTCAGAACGGTCCGGTAGTTCGGGGAGCTTCTCCTGCAGATGTCGAAGAACCTCCGGCGGAATTGTGGAGAGAGCTGTGAAAACGAAAGCAAATGAAGGACACGATCGACTACTCAGTCCTTGCGCTGAAAATGGAAAAACCTAAACAGATGATTGTCCTACTCGAGGTTGTATTTCGTCTAGATGAGGAATGGGATTTGCCAACACTAGTTAGGGCTCTAATTCTTACGCACAGAGAGTGTGATCAGTAAAAGGGATAGAGCTATCCAAATCATAAGAGAAATACCCCAGACTCGAAACATTAAGAGTTCATATTGCTGGAAGCAGCGTTGCTCAGCCGTCACAATTTTGACAAACAGTTACTATGTAGCCAGTGGATATTGAGAAGCATCCAATCCTACTTGATGTCTAGATGAAAGCAACAATCCGAGAACTCGGGAATGTATTCTCGTGAAATGGTAATCCTCCACAAGAGAAACTTCATTTTTGAACAGATCTTATACTAGGTGGTACGTGACGAGAAAAAGATGTGCACCATCGGAGACAGTGATCTTTCTATCATGCGGGTGTCCCATAATAAACTGTTCCACGTCTCAAGATGACTACATCGCCGCATTCTGAATCTCTCCAAATAAGCAAGCTTCTCAATAACATAATGTGAACCGAACGCTTTAAGGCCTAACCTCGACCCACGCACAAAACAGACCTTGTTTGGGTGACGTGGACTTCCGGACAAATTACTGCAAGAAAAAAGACTGCTATAGCAAATCCATTAACGCCCTAATGTCCCCAAAGAATAGATTTGGCGAACGTGACTTACCATTGGATCATCCTAAGGTAATAATCCCCCACTCAAACAAAGAGGAATCTCCCAAGTCTACCCAACAGTTTCTCACTAAATACAATTAGGAAAACGTATCACCAGCGGTACACTTCCACGTATTGCTGTCAATATTTACGCCGAGGAAAAGAAGGGCGAGATAACACCAGAATCCTCAAACTTGGACCAACCAAGAATGTTCTTCGTTCCGAAAACATACTATCTACGGTGCCAGCTGATACCCAGACGAATAGCGGATGCCGTCAATGACAGTTTTTAAGAGGCTCTGAATGCCTTTTTACACCGTGTTCAGAGCTCCGATATTTCCTTGGGCGCACCATGCATGACTGTGATGCGTGAAACGAGAACAAATGCCGTCGGTGAGCAGAAGCACCAATGATACAAATAGCTCGCTCGTCTCCAGAAACAGCATGGCCTAAATCGTCGGTCGAACTCAACTTGTCACCTGCTGCGGTTCTGTGAGATTCCATACTCGTAACAAAGCTGTTGACGATGAACTGACAGTTTCAGAAATACGCGGATGCGCCCGCCTTTTCAAGCGACACTGGCATAGTGGTGCTTGCAACCTTTCACTTATTTTGTCCAGGCATGGAGGTAAAGTTCTCAGTTGGCACTCGTCTAATGTGTTTATTCAGAAAAGACAGTTTCAACCAAACTGGGCGAACCGACGACAGTGCCCATTCCAAAGAGTGCTCGCATCATGCACTCACGGAGATGTTGGTCGTACTAAACGAGACTCCGTGCATTGTCCATTCGTATCATTATCATTGCCGTTAGAGAAGGCAGCATCCGTCTGCGTTTTGACGGTTTACAGCCATCCAATCACTAAGCATATTTAATCATATCTGAAGCCTTAGAGAAAAAGAGAAAGGACGGAGGTTGGGAGGGAGAGAAGGGACCGAGTGCTGGTCTGTCACAAACATCCTGAGGTGTCTACACCCACAATCGCTCAGACAATCTGAAAAGAATGGCAACGCGAACGCCACTGACACCGATCAGTCGCCGTTTCTTGCACTGTACAGCTAAGCTCTGAATTCTCAACCACACATGTCTGCCAAGTCATAGGTTGTCTGCACGTAGAACGACACTCGTCTGCGCAGTCGATGATTCGGCACAAGCGACACATGGTCGAGCCACCGCAGTTGACGGTGCTGGATTATTTCTGCGACTGAAGTTCCCACCGCACAAGAAATTATCAATCAACTGCCTGATTACCTCGTTGCGATTCCCTTGACGCCACCCATCAGCTTCCGAAGCATAGGTGGTGAAATTGAAATTGTTTAGCTGTAGCATCTTTTCGGTGCCTAACTGCCATGCCACCCGGAGGAAGCAAGAGGGCTGGGATACTGGCAGGTTGCCCAAGCCTAGACTGGGGAAATCGAGTGGCGGAGGTTGGGTTCGAACCACGGACCTTCCCGACAGTAAATTCGCGCTCTAACCACTTGGGCCATCTCGCATCGGTGGTCAAAATCCTGAAAACGCTTCACATCACCCGTTCCCAGAGGCCATGTTTAGCAACCTCACAACAATGCAGCCGTTATCGCAGTCTGGTATACGTGACCCTTAGGATACAGTGATATGCCTTTTTGACGCCACAAATGATGCAAACTAGCGAACGTGGTTCGGACCTTTGGGATTCGTGCAGTCCCAATCAGCCACACTTTCGTCAGAGCTAATACAATTATCAGGGTATGTGGAATTCTCCACAAACTCGTGATTCTAATTGAATTATAAAAGTGTTCACAGACTGCACTTTTGAATCATGATGTCGCAATTTGAAGGTGTGAATGGCATGCTGCGCGGGACCTTTACCTTAAAAGACTCGGGCGATATCGTCTGCATACACCGCATTGATAGGGTTCTCACCAACAGCAATTTGAACACCGGGATTTTTTTACCGTTGCTTAATGATCTCATCAAAGAGGAAGCTTAACAAGAATAAAGAGTGGATATCCTTGTCATACATCACGTTTTGTAGGGAAGCTGTTAGAGAGCTCATCAAACACTTACACAGCCAGAAGCATCAAAATATGGTGACCGGATTATGTTTACAAACTTCTGGGGTATACCCTGTTGAGCGAAAGAGGTTAACAGTATTGACGGATCGACGGAATCGGACGCAAACTTACAGTCAAGGAATGTCAATATTACGGATCACCTATACATATGACGCCGCTGTAACACCTAGAGTGTGAAAATGTGGTCAACGCAGCATCTACCTGGTCCAAATCTCGCTTGACGCTCACGAGTAAAATTTTCGTCTGCCACCGTAGAACGGTGAAGAATCAGCGACGTCAAAAGCCTTGTCACAACGGGAGTTAAAATAACACCCCTTGATTACCACGTTCACTCCGAGTAACCCTTTTGAAAATGGACACTATTATCTGCTCCCTCCTATTATTAGGAACGGTCTATCCCCCAGGTTCACCCAAATACACTAGACATCGACTGGGGAATTCACCACTATCCTTCACTCGCAAAAACGTTGACTGGAAAGATAGGCCGAACACTAAGAATAGTTCAACTGGCCTCCTGCAACAGCCTGTAGAAATAGTGCGTACACGCGGATGGAATGTAAACATTAATTGCTCGTCGAAAGAAGAAATAAAGTGCGAAATATTCGTGATAAAACGTGAGAAGGCACCAGGACCAGGCGGTCTGCATTCAGTCCTGTTCAAAGAAGGCGGAGAATTCCTGGCCATCTATTTGACAAAGCTTATTGGTGCTGTATGGAAGGAAGAGGTGCCCGCAGGATGGGGTGTCGATAGTTATCCCTATCTTCAAAAAAGGTACGCGGACGCTGTGTAAAAATCACCGTGGCATCAGCCTGGTAGCTGTGGCGTCGAACGTGCTCTCAGGTCTTATAATTCGAAGGTTGACTGGACACGGGGAAAGATAGATCTGAGAAAACCAAGCTGGGTTCCGTCCTGCAAAAGGATGCGTTGATCACATTTTCACCCTCCGACAGACTATGACACTGCAAACAACAACGGTTGTGTTGCTTGACTTGGCAGCAGCCTTGGACTCTGTGGATCGTCAGGCACTCTGGCAGTGTCTGCGGAACATAAGTGCCCCCATAAATTCTTGACCCATTCTAGGGCGCTGTACGCCAACTCCCGCGGACGTATGGTCTACGAAGAGATCTAGCCTGAGTTCACTACATCAATCGGTGTCAGATACAGCTGCCCCCTTTCACCTTTCCTCTTCAACTTCGCCCTTGATACGGTCGAGGAAGACTCACTATCAGCCTCCAATGCCGGTGGTATGAAGTGCTCTAGGGGCGTCCCCGCAGATATCGACATAGCTATGCTTGGACCCGACCCCGTGGTAATGCAAACAATATTAAATAATCTAAATAATTCCACTTCATGGTTTGGCATGCGCTTCACATCTGCAAAGTGTAAAGTGCTACTGCAAGACTGGATGGGCTCGAAACCTAGTCTCATGCTTGCGGATGGACCGATCGAGGTGTTAGACAAATTTGTCTACCTGGGAAAAGTATCAGGCCAGGTGGTCTCGCGAAAGATGACATTTCAATCCGGATTGGGAAGGCCAGAGCAGCTTTGTGAACCTGCGTCAACTGTAGCGTAGGCGTGGCATCAGCTTATTTGTCAAGGGTCGAGTTTACAATGCTGCGGTTCGCTCCATATTATCATACGGATGAAAAACCTGGTTCGATGCGCGGCGAGGACTTCAAAAGACTTTCAGCGTTTGACCATCGATATCTTCGGAGCATTGTTCGACTCTGGTGAGAACACCGGATCAGCAATGCTGAAGTACGTCGAATGGTATTCAGAAATAACTCACTCTTGAAAGATGAACTGATCACATTGTATAAGTTGCGCTGGCTTGGCCACGTGCTGCATATGCCAGTCGACCGGATTCCTCGAAGGTTCTTTTCGCACAACCACATGAGGGGTGGAAACGAGCCAGAGGCGGTAACACAATGACTTGACAGCGAAGTGTAAAAGCCACTACCAGCAAACTCAGCTGCGCTGGTCATTGCCGTCTTCCCAAGACGGGCAACATCAATGGTTGAATGCGTTGCCAGACATGGCTCAGTCGCGACCTCAATGGTGCTCGTGCATCCAAGCTATGGCCTTCAATGCATAGCTCCCTTTCCTATTCCCATACGTGACAGTCCATTGACAGTTCAGCATTTACGCACGAATTTATCATCTCCCGCCTCCAATGCGCAGCCATCAACCCCACCTCCTCAAATCATCGCTGAAC